GTCCCCATGTGCAGTTGCAAACCGTAGTCTAGCTTTTTTCTGGCGGTTTTGGAGCAGTGGCTTCTTCCTTGCTGAGCGGCCTTTCAGGTTATGTCGATATAGGACTCGTTTTACTGTGCATATAGATACTTTTGTACCTGTTTCCTTCTGCATCTTCACAAGGTCCTTTGCTGTTGTTCTGGGATTAATTTGCACTTTTCGCACCAAAGTCAGTTCAATGCCTCCTGTAGCTCAATTGGTAGAGCATGGCGCTTACAACGCCAGGGTTGTGGGTTAGATTCCCACGGGGGGCCAGTATGAACAATGTATGCATTCACTGACTGTAAGTCGTTCTAGATAAGAGCGTCTGCTAAGTGACTAAAATGTAAATGTACAAATGTTTAAAATAAATTTGTAGAGTGGTTGAAAAACTAGTTTTAATGACTCCAACCTAAGTGTATGTAAACTTCCTACTTCAACTGTACATATATGGGCATTCATAAAATTCAATTTCAGGCAACACTGTAGGCTAAACCTCAGTAAGCAGGGACCGAAGTTTGATGGCTTTTGGTGCAGTTCCAGACTGGCCTTGATTTCCACATCCACAGACATTGGTTCCTGGTCTGCTCCGGAACAAATCTGAACCAATCATAGACGGCTCTGGTCTGCTCCGGACCAAATCTGAACCAATCATAGACGGCTCTGGTCTGCTCCGGACCAAATCGGAACCAATCATAGACGGCTCTGGTCTGCTCCGGACCAAATCGGAACCAATCATAGACGGCTCTGGTCTGCTCCGGAACAAATCGGAACCAATCATAGACGGCTCTGGTCTGCTCCGGAACAAATCTGAACCAATCATAGACGGCTCTGGTCTGCTCCGGAACAAATCTGAACCAATCATAGACGGCTATGGTCTGCTCCGGAACAAATCGGAACCAATCATAGACGGCTATGTTTGTTTCAGATTTAGTCTGGTCTGGACCAGCCTTGATTTGGCCCAAACACAGACATCTATAAATTATTTTTTGTTTCTTTTCAACTTTCATTGAAAACGAAAAATGAACCTGATTTCAACATCCGGACAATACATATTTTCAACATCTGTAAAATATGCCTTTTCAACGGTCTGGAAAATATGTATTTTAAACATACGGAAAATTCCTTTTCAAATGTTCACCTAAATTGAACCTAACTTCAACATCTGGAATATAAGTATTTTAGACATCTTTTCAAATACATTTTGCTTACTGGGACGATTCTATTTTTGCGAGGGGCTGCATTTCTTGGTCTCACCTATGGTGGCAGAACTGCAAGGACCGGCCCTGATGAATCCTTTACATTACAGTTTGTATATCTTCCTAAAAGACAGCTCTAGCAACTTGTGAAGGAGTCACCATCAGCAGAGACATTAGTTAAAGTTATTTTTTATACATGTAATTGAGCAAGTTCTTCTTTCAAGTCAGGCATTTCACGTTCTTCAATGTCGATCACCTTTTCTGTTTTCAAACCTCTGCATTACATTTAAAAAAAAATTACATTTACGTCATTTAGCAGACGCTCTTATCCAGAGCGACTTACAAATTGGTGCATTCACCCTATAACCAGTGGGATAACCACTTTACAATATATATATATATATATATTATTATTATTTTTATAAATTTTTTAAGAGGGGGGGGGGGGGGGGGGGGGGTAGAAGGAATATGTTAGCTTTGCTGATGTAACAATGTAACTAGTCTTTACCTGATTGGAGTTAGCTAGCTAACTGTTAGCTATCCTGATGTAACAATGTAACTAGTCTTTACCTTATTGGAGTTAGCTAGCTAACTGTTAGCTATGCTGATGTAACAATGTAACTACTCTTTACCTGATTTGGAATTTCTTCTGCTGTTAACATCTGTGTTCTAGGCCTACTAAAACAGTCAAATAGTTGTTTAAATGTTTGTTGTGTCTAATATGGTGCAGCTAAATTAATGTTCAATAGGGTGAAACGTTCAAATAGAAATGTATTGTGAAGAACAGATATGACTGTCTGTCAGGTAGAATAGGGTATCGTGTCAGCTCTATTCAATACTTATTCATTAATTACTATCAGCAATGTTCAGAACATTTCACCTCACTGAACACACCCTGTTTGTTTGGGGTGCAGAGTCCACCCAGCACATCAGTACAAGAAGCCCTATAGCTGACGGATGCAGTAGCTGAGCAGGGGGGCTGACCAACTGGAAGGACCCCATCAAGGCCTTTTCATTTCTTGGACTGTGCTCTCATCTTCACTGCAGCCAAGGTTTATTGTTTGGTGTATCTGCCAACACAGCCTAATTCTGGCACCGATGCCACTGTTATTAGACCAGATATTTACTTGCCGTGTTTGTGGGTGGAGAGAGCATTCGCACCATGTAGACTAAATGTTTATGACATTAAGTTATTTGAATGTGCAAAGATCTTGCATGATACAGTGCCTGAAGAAAGTATCCATACCCCTTGACTTATTCAAAATTTTGTTGTGTTACAGCCTGAATTGTCTCAACCACCTACACACAATACTCCATGACAAAGTGGAAACATGTTTTAGACATTTTAGCACATTTATTGAAAATTAAATACAGAAATATCTAATTTACATAGGTATTCACACCCCTGAGTCAATACATGTTGGAATTACCTTTGGCAGCAATTACAGCTGTGAGTCTTTATGCGTATGTCTCTAAGAGCTTTGCACACCTGGATTGTACAATATTTACACATTATTCTTTAAATAATTACCCAACTAGACCATGGTTTCCCAAACTCGGTCCTCCTATGAGAACTGCCCTTTCAGATTGGTAGCATTTTTTTCATTAATACATTTTATACAAATATTTTCTCTCCTGTTCTGTAAAGAATTGCAGATCAAACTAGCTAATTTCTAATTTTTTAATCTTGTAAAATTCCTCCTCCCCCACCCCCAGGCGAGGGCCCACTGCACTCGTCCTCCTCCTGCTGCACAAGCAGAAGCTACTGGCGCCTCGCTACTTTTTGAGTTGTACGTCGTCTCTCAAGGTCAGGGACAGGGAAGGGTTGGAATGTTTTAGTAGGCCTAGAACACAGATGTTAGCAGCAGAATAAATTCCAAATCAGGTAAAGAGTAGTTACATTGTTACATCAGCATAGCTAACAGTTAGCTAGCTAACTCCAATCAGGTAAAGAGTAGTTACATTGTTACATCAGCATAGCTAACAGTTAGCTAGCTCACTTCAATAAGGTAAAGAGTAGTTACATTGTTACATCAGCATAGCTAACAGTTAGCTAGCTAACTCCAATCAGGTAAAGACTAGTTACATTGTTACATCAGCAAAGCTAACAGTTAGCTAGCTAACTCCAATCACTGGTAAAGACTAGTTACATTGTTACATCAGCATAGCTAACAGTTAGTTAGCTAACTCCAATCAGGTAAAGACTAGTTACATTGTTACATCAGCATAGCTAACAGTTAGCTAGCTAACTCTAATCACTGGTAAAGACTAGTTACATTGCTACATCAGCATAGCTAACAGTTAGCTAGCTAACTTCAATAAGGTAAAGACTAGTTACATTGTTACATCAGCATAGCTAACAGTTAGCTAGCTAACGCCAATCAGGTAAAGAGTAGTTACATTGTTACATCAGCATAGCTTACAGTTAGCTAGCTAACAGTTAACTACCTAACTCCTTAGCTGATTTATATAATCTACATTCACTATTTACTATAAAAACAAAGAAATGCATTGTGAAGAACAGGTATGACTGTCTGTCAGATAGAATAGGGAATCATGTCAGCTCTAGTCAATACATTTCTATCAGCAATGTTCAGAACATTTCACCTCACTGAATACACCCTGTTTGTTTGGGGTGCAGTGTCCACCCAGCACATCAGTGTCCACCCAGCACATCAGTGTCCTCCCATTACATCAGTGTCCACCCAGCACATCAGTGTCCACCCAGCACATCAGTGTCCATCCAGTACATCAGTGTCCACCCAGCACATCAGTGTCCACCCAGCACATCAGTATCCACCCAGTACATCAGTGTCCACCAAGTACATCAGTGTCCACCCAGTACATCAGTGTCCACCGAGTACATCAGTGTCCACCCAGTACATCAGTGTCCACCCAGTACATCAGTAAAAGAAGCCCCATATGGGGGAGTTACTGGATACTGGCTGGCTATCTGGAAGGACCCCATCAAGGCCTTTTCATTTCTTGGACTGTGCTCTCGTCTTCACTGCAGCCAAGGTTTATTGTTTGGTATATCTGCCAACACAGCCTAATACTGGCACCGATGCCACTGTTATTAGACCAGATATTTACTTGCCGTGTTTGTGGGTGGAGAGAACATTCGCACCATGCAGACTAAACATGAATGATATTGATTTTAATGTGCAAAGATCTTGCGTGATATATGACTTGTGTTTTTTTTATTTGAGGGACATGTTTCTCTAAGCTCCAAACTTACTCTGGGCAGAAGTTACCCTCTGGGATAAAACGGACCTTAGATCCGTGACAGAGGAATATGTACAGCTGTCATACCCAACGAGACAACTGTGATTTTTGCCTCAAAGACCTCAACTGACTTTACAGCCATGGGTCTCCTCACAATGCAGTGAACACTGTATCGAGATCAGGGCTGGGGTCATTTCAGGAAGTGAACTAAAATTATAAGTCATTTAAAAGTATTGTGAAACATTTGAATTTCAGTTTACTTCCTGAATTAACTGAATTGTATTTCTAACATACTGAACCTGATTTCAAGAAATTAATCGCTAAATTAAAGATGATGTTTAGGATTATGAGTTTCTAAAACAAACTGTATTAGGACGTTTTCTATATGACTGACTGGTTTAGGATTGTTGCTGCCAACATGGCGAATCGGCAAGAATAATGCATTGAGGAGATGGAGAGGAAGAATCCAGATTTAGGGTGTTTATTAAACACATTTGAACACTAACCCAGAGCACATGGGGAGAGGGTTTGGAATGGATTTTCATTAAGGTTTGGGGTTTAAGAGTTGGAGCTTGTAAAGCTGGTAGGAAGGTTAAGTTGTGGAAGGATGTGGTGGTCTGGAAGGGAAACAAGAGGGAAACATATTAGGAACACAGGTGAATGAATGACCAGGTAGTACCAGGTGACCAGGTAAAGGGAATGGACGTAACATATAGCTACACATTTAGGAGACTACCAGGATAAACATAAGAAAGGAGCAATAGCATTTAGCATAAACTGAGGGCATGAATGTAAGAATTAACATATATACATACATCTATCTGTGTCATTATAGCATCTGTGACAGCATGCACAGCGTCATTGAGGCTAAATCTATTTTAAAGTATCAGTTGTATTATTCTTCATTGGCTGACGGCTCCCAACTCATAGGAATCCCCACCCAGTTGACTATTTTAAAATGGTGGAAGCTCTCAATGGCAATGTCCATGTTAAAACAGGTTACATCCATGATGAGTCCTCTATCTATCTCTATGACAACAGGCACAACTGAAATGCCACATGCGTCCACTTATATCAGGGCGTTCTCAACAACCTAACCATTACAAAACTTTTATTAGATCAAATAAGCCTTAAGTAGCAAATGATCAATTCCATTTTTTGTTGACCAAATTCAACACTCTCTCATTGTGGACTTATGTTCGTGGGCATATTTTGAGAGGAGTAAAACCTCTCACTTCGCCACTTCCTCTCTGATTTAGCTGAACCCACTGTGTTAGAGCTGGGGTGGAACAAGAGCCTGCACGCCATGTGGATGGGCTGTCCAGAACAGGAGTTGCAGGCCCCTTATATACTGTTATTAACTGACAAATGTCATTAAGCACTTGAGTAAACTCTCATTATAAATCTGTTATTGACATTTTAAATGTATTTTAGCAGGGCCTTGGGAGGATCGGATAGTAACTCTTGATCCAATACATTTTAAGGGTGCTTTAAATGATCGCAAAGTAGTTTTATCACCACAGGCAGGAGTTTGCCTGAGACACCCCAGAGCCTTTGCTCACATCAGCATTTTTTTCCTCCATGACTCAATCCATTAAAATGTCACAGCCAGTAAAAATCTAAATCTGGAAATGAAATGTCACATGCTGTGGCATGGATCCACAAAACAACCAATCTTGGCTCAGTTAATACAGATCTTATTTCCCAGATCACATATCTCGCTTTAAATATATTACGGTGTCAGCAATGTGAGGACCTCATGGTTGACTAATAAGGTCAGAATAATGTGCTGGCCTGTATCGGATCTCTCTGTGTTCCACAGCATACAGTGGGGAAAAAAGTATTTAGTCAGCCACCAATTGTGCAAGTTCTCCCACTTAAAAAGATGAGAGAGGCCTGTAATTTTCATCATAGGTACACGTCAACTATGACAGACAAAATGAATTTATTTGCAAATGATGGTGGAAAATAAGTATTTGGTCAATAACAAAAGTGTCTCAATACTTTGTTATATACCCTTTGTTGGCAATGACATAGGTCAAACGTTTTCTGTAAGGTTTTCACACACTGTTGCTGGTATTTTGGCCCATTCCTCCATGCAGATCTCCTCTAGAGCAGTGATGTTTTGGGGCTGTCGCTGGGCAACACAGACTTTCAACTCCCTCCAAAGATTTTCTATGGGGTTGAGATCTGGAGACTGGCTAGGCCACTCCAGGACCTTGAAATGCTTCTTACGAAGCCACTCCTTCGTTGCCCGGGCAGTGTGTTTGGGATCATTGTCATGCTGAAAGACCCAGCCACGTTTCATCTTCAATGCCCTTGCTGATGGAAGGAGGTTTTCACTCAAAATCTCACGATACATGGCCCCATTCATTCTTTCCTTTACACGGATTAGCCGTCCTGGTCCCTTTGCAGAAAAACAGCCCCAAGCATGATGTTTCCACCCCCATGCTTCACAATAGGTATGGTGTTCTTTGGATGCAACTCAGCATTCTTTGTCCTCCAAACACGACGAGTTGAGTTTTTACCAAAAAGTTCTATTTTGGTTTCATCTGACCATATGACATTCTCCCAATCCTCTTCTGGATCATCCAAATGCACTCTAGCAAACTTCAGACGGGCCTGGACATGTACTGGCTTAAGCAGGGGGACACGTCTGGCACTGCAGGATTTGAGTCCCTGGTGGCGTAGTGTGTTACTGATGGTAGGCTTTGTTACTTTGGTCCCAGCTCTCTGCAGGTCATTCACTAGGTCCCCCCGTGTGGTTCTGGGATTTTTGCTCACCGTTCTTGTGATCATTTTGACCCCACGGGGTCAGATCTTGCGTGGAGCCCCAGATCGAGGGAGATTATCAGTGGTCTTGTATGTCTTCCATTTCCTAATAATTGCTCCCACAGTTGATTTATTCAAACCAAGCTGCATACCTATTGCAGATTCAGTCTTCCCAGCCTGGTGCAGATCTACAATTTTGTTTCTGGTGTCCTTTGACAGCTCTTTGGTCTTGGCCATAGTGGAGTTTGGAGTGTGACTGTTTGAGGTTGTGGACAGGTGTCTTTTATACTGATAACAAGTTCAAACAGGTGCCATTAATACAGGTAACGAGTGGAGGACAGAGGAGCCTCTTAAAGAAGGAGGTACAGGTCTTCACCTTTCAGCATGCAGTGTGAAGTTAATGGAGGGTTAAATGTAATATTAATCTAATACATTTACAAGGATAAACACTTGGATCAAATGTGGAGCTGTTGTGTTTTTCAGCTTTAAAGATCTTAAGACAAACAACTCCAAAATGATTACCCCCTGCCAGTGACCTTTTCCAAACATGGCCATGTTCCAAACTGGGTGTCAGAAATACATGCAGCCTAAAGCTGTTTTGGATTGCTTTATTACCCTCCGTCATAGAGATGGTATCAAACCACATCTGCTGAGCGGTTCTTGAAACTCCAATTTGTTCCCATACAGTCGATAGCAGAGTTACAAGAAGCGAACCAAAGCAACAGATCATTTCCAATCCCAATATGGCCATGGTCAGAAACGGGTGTGTCAGAAATACATCCAGCTTCCACAGCAACATATCTAAAGTAATTTGGTTTTGCTTTATTGGCAGATCTGATGCCATTTGAGCCGTGCACCAGAGGATATGACCATATATGAAACAGACGTATACCTGTTATAGCCATTATTAAACGGACCAGTCAAATACCTGCTTCTTTTTGGACATCTTTATTTTTTAGACCTTCAATTGTAAACACAACAGAGATTGCAGGAAGACACAGTCAAGGACAAGAAAAGTAAAGTCCATAACAGAGAACATCAATAAAACTGGGAATCCCACACCCTCCCTTCAGCTGCAGCTGTTGGAACACACGCGTCTCTGGGAGAGCAGGGGACTCGTCCTAGCTATTGGAAGACTGATTTAAATAATGGGGAAAATGGAGTGTTCCTGTCTGCCTGTGAATGAGTTGAATAGAAGGTTGTCCAGTTTAACTGCTGCTTTGGTAATAGCCTTGACCTCTATGGCAGCTGTTATATCTGGGATGACTGAAGACCTGATGATAGGAGCCTCTGCTTTATACTCCTGCAAATTGTCCCACTAACAGGGTCATATACCAAAAAGTCATAATATGTCAAACAGTCATAATAACAGTCAACTTTAATATCACAATCATCTCAATAATGTTAAATGTAATTTGTTGGATCAGAATCAGGGTTGTGTTCATTAGGCAAACCGTATCATAACATTAAGAAGCCGTCAGCCACCGGCTTCTTAAATAAGCATTGATCAATGCTCAATGTTAAAGTTATTTCTACCATCACACCTAAGCCAATATGACAACAATGTCGATGTAACTTCAACAATCAACTTGATTGGAGAAAAACAACACCCTCCCCACCTCTCGTCATGTTCCGTTCAGCCTTTACTGAATGTTCCAACTTCAATTAGTTATTCTCAATTATGCTTTAAGATACAAACGTTAAATATATGTCAACAATCCTTCCTCCAAAGGACCCATCTGTGGATTAAATGTCATGAAAATCTATATTTGTTCAAGTTTCAGGAGGAATAGCTTTATAATAGCTACAATAATGTGGCATACAAGACTGTGACTTTCTAGCTAATTTTCCTTTCTCAAGTAGTTCATGTTCCCTCTTTCAGAACCTATTCATAATCCACTTCCCTGCCGGTGACAAGCATATCCATAACATGATGCTGCCACCACGATACTTTAAAATACAAAAGGGATCAACATCATTGCATTCACTCCATATTACCGGCCTGTATGACCAGCGGTGTAAAGTATTTAAGTAAAAATACTTTAAAGTACTACTTAAGTAGTTTTGGGGGGGGTTTCTGCACTTTACTTCACTATTTATATTTTTGACAACTTTTACTTTTACTTCACTACATTCCTAAAGTAAATATTGTACTTTTTACTCCATACCTTTTCCTTGACACCCAAAAGTACTCGTTACATTTTAAATGCTTAGCAGGACAGAAAAATTGTCAAATTCACGCATTTATCAACAGAACATCCCATGTCATCCCTACTGCCTCTGATCTGGCGGACTCACTAAACACACATGCTTCATTTGTAAATGATGTCTGAGTGTGCCCCTGGCTATCTGTAAATTAATATATTTATATGGTGGTCTGCTTAATATAAGACATTTGAAATGATTTATACTTTTACTTTTGACACTTAAGTATATTTTAGCAATTACATTTACTTTTGATACTGAAGTATATTTTAAACCAAATACTTTTACTCCAGCAGAATTCTACTGGGTGACTTTTACTTCAGTCATTTTCTATTAAGGTATTTTTACTTTTACACAAATATGACAATTGGGTACTTTTTCACCACCTGTGTGTGACAAAGTGAAAAGAAAGAAAAGTGTATTAAAAAAATTCACTCCAAATAATCAATTCTGTTTGCAACAAGGCTGTTAAGTAGTACTGCAAGACAATACTTTTGGCATAAATATAAAACGACAAAGTTGGGTCAAATCCAATCCAACACAACAAAGAGTGAAACACTATTTTCAAGTATTGTTGTGGCAGCATCATGTTATGGGTATGCTTGCAGTTGGCAGGGAGTGGGGATTTTGTCAGGATCCAATTAAATATGAAAGGAGCAAAGCCCAGGTAAAAGGTTATAGGAAAACCAGCCTCAGTCTTCTGAAAACCCTGGGATAATTTTATTTTTCAGCGAGACAATTACACAAATGTTTTTGCCAAAGACGTCCAAATGGATTTCGTAGAGGTGTTGAGTGTTCCTGAATGGTCCAGTCTCAGTCCTGACTTAAATTTGCTTAAAAATCAGAAACAAGGCTTAAATATTGCAATCCATCAATGATTCCCAAACAAATATATTGAGCTTGAGCAATGTTGACAAAAACAATTGATATGTGTAGCCCTTAGAGTTGTGCAAAGTTGGTAAAATCTTATTCCAAATGATTCACAGCTGTAAGGGCTGCCAAATGTTCTTCCACCAAGTATTAACTCAAATTATGTTATTTCAGTTATTTTTTCTTAATTTGCTAAATTATAGAACCTTTTCACTTAGTAAATGTTAAGTAGGTTGTGTAGATCTGTAGGAAAAATAATACAATCAAATAATTTTTCAGATTAAATTTTAAGGCAGCAAAATGTGAAAATAAAAGTTAAAGGGGGCATTCAGGGCACAGAGAGCAGTGCTGCCTATCTTTAGATCCTATCAGTGTTGACACGTGCCTCAACGATACACTTTTCAAATGTTTTCTCTTCGTGGTGTTTAGGGAAAAGCATGTTACATCTTTGGCCGTTGTAAGAAAGATGCATTGTTAAAACACTCCTAAGCAGACATCGTGACGTATTTCATTACCTATATCAATGGACAAGTCTAGTGTTTGTAATGCAAGATGGAGGAGAGCCTGTCTCTCATCAGAGATCACATTTATTTGGGGAGATAGCAAAATATGACCTTTTCATTCAAGACAGGATAAATATATTGTTTCAGGTGATAATAAAACATGTTTTGTATAGTTACTTTTTCATCAACTTGTTTCTCTAATTTTATTGCAAGTCAAGTTAGCTTGCAGTGCAGAGCAGCTATCTAGCTAAAGGCTAGGATAGGTTGAAGGTAACATTGTAGCTAGCAACCTCCACCTAACAATTATAATCAAAACAAACATCATCACCATCACAACGGAAGGCAACAGTCATAATATAATACGCTTAACTGCCAATGTGTATTATTTAACACTACTATTAAAATACACCTGAAGTCAATCTTAAATGAATCAAGTTCTCTTATATACTACTTACACAGACAAGTTATATTTGCATGATTTAGCTTATACATTATTCATCATTAATTCATCATTAACGTTTGGTTCATGCATGTGACCGACCAATACCTGAGACCTTGAAACTGAGACACCCCTTTCGGTCATCAAAACAATGTTCTGGGCGTACAGACAAATTGCTTATACTGATAGTAAGGATTCCTCCCAGGCATGATCAATCAGTCACTTGCATGAGCCCAGTCAAATTGGTTATTAGAAAAGCACAAACATAAAATGTTCCTTCACAAAATGAAAGCACTTTATGTATCGAGTCCTTCCATTTGAAGGTGTCACTTACAGTATATGTGTATTAAAGTAGTCAAAAGTTTAGTGCTTGGTTCTATATTCCTAGCATGCAATGACTACATCAAGCGTGGGACTCTACAAATTTATAGGATGCATTTGCAGTTTGTTTTAGTTTTGCTTCAGATTATGTTGTGCCCAATATAAATGAATGGTAAATAATGTGTTGTTTCATTTTGGAGTCACTAATTGAAAATATAGAATATGTTTCTGAACCCTTCTACATTAATGAGGATGCTACCATGGTTACAGATCATGCTGAACAAATCGTGAATAATGGTGAGTGTGACATTTACAGAGGCACAAAGATCATACCCCCAAAACATGCCAACCTCTCACCATTACCAATAACAGGGGATCCCCAAGACGTGCTAACCTCTCACGATTACCAATAACAGGTTATCCCCAAAACATGCTAACCTCTCCTAATTACCAATAGCAGGGGACCTCCAATATATGCTAACCTTTGACCATTACCAATAACAGGGGATCCCCAATACATGCTAACCTCTCACAATTACCAATAGCAGGTGACCTCCAAAATATGCTAACCTCTCACCATTACCAATAATAGGAGATCCCCAAGACATGCTAACGTCTCACCATTATCAATTACAGGGGACCTCCAAGACATTCTAACCTCTCACTTTTACCAATAACAGGGGATCCCCAAGAGATGCTAACCTCTCATCATTACCAATAACAGGGGACATGCTAACTTCTCACCATTACCAATAACAGGTGACCTCCAAGATATGCTAACCTTTGACCATTACCAATAACAGGGGATCCCCAATACATGCTAACCTCTCACAATTACCAATAGCAGGGGACCTCCAAGATATGCTAACCTCTCACCATTACCAATAACAGGGGATCCCCAAACTATGCTAAGCTCTCACCATTACCAATAACAGGGGATCCCCAAGACATGCTAACCTCTCACCATTACCAATAATAGGAGATCCCCAAGACATGCTAACGTCTCACCATTACCAATAACAGGGGAACCCCAATACATGCTAACCTCTCACCATTACCAATAACAGGGGAACCCCAAGACATGCTAACCTCTCACCATTACTAATAACATGGGATCCCCAAGACATGCTAATCTCTCACCATTACCAATAACAGGGGACCACCAAGACATGCTTACCTTCCACCATCACCAATAGCAGGGGACATGCTAACCTCTCACCATTACCAATAACAGGGGATCCCCAAGACATGCTAACCTCTCACCATTACCAATAACAGGGGATCCCCAAGACACGCTAACCTCTCACCATTACCAATAACAGGGGATCCCCAAGACATGCTAGGGTCTATAAGGGTTTAAGCTCTGGTACTATTCAGCACTTTCACTTAATAATATGTTCATTTGTTAAAAACATTCTACATGTAAAAGGTATTTGATTGCTTGATTGACAATCTAATTCATCATTAATTACTATATAATTGCTTTAACCTTTACATTTTTACTCCAATACTGTGATCATTACCATATGTCATGTGTTACTCACGGTTATTGTTCCACATGTTATCTGTTCCACATATTAACTGTTCCACATGTTATCTGTTCCACATGTTATCTGTTCCACATATTAACTGTTCCACATATTAACTGTTCCACATAGTTGTGTAGTTTGGTCAGACAGCCTACTTTCCAATCCCCGTCCTCCACACCTGCTACACCTGTAAAGGCCCTTTCTCACCAAGTCAAACACAACTCAGTTGGTGTGAAAAGGCCTTAGTAACCTGTTAAACTATTAGCAGTTGTTTTGAGCCCTGTACAGGGCCCGTTGAGTTTGAACTTTGACAGTAGTAGCTTCTGTCCTCCTCTGGGTACATTGACTTCAATACAAAACCTAGGAGGCTCTTGGTTCTCACCCCCTTCCATAGACTTACACAGTAATTATGACAACTTCCAGAGGACGCCCTCCAATCTATCAGAGCTCTTGCAGCATGAACTGACATGTTATACACCCAATCAAAGGATCAGATAATTAATTTAGTACTGAAAGCATACGCTACAATTAGCTAGCACTGCAGTGTATAAAATGTGGTGAGTAGTTGACTCAAAGAGAGAGAAACACAATAGTTGAACAGTTAACAAATTAATTTCTTCCAAAATTAAGAAGAGAGAGAGAGGGAGAGATAGCTATATTTGGTTGTACATTTTTTTTGTTTTACTTTCACTTAGCTAGCAAATGCAGCTAGCTAGTTTTGCCTACTCAAACACCCGGCTCAAACAGAGAGGGATGTTATGTTAGCTATCTGGCTATGGCTTTTGGTTTTATTAATTTATTGCCACCGGGGCCCGCCGGTGTAACTGCTACACTGCTTTCTGAATGTACACTGTACTGCATGATTGTAGCGGGTTTATTAACGTGTTAGTTCTAGTAGGCAATGATGTAGACTGTGTGTAGTGGTCATCATAAGGGTTTGCCTTGGAAAGGTTTTTTCGCCTGGTCACAGACAGCTGATGTGTTGTGCACTGAAGTCCACAAGCGAAGGGAAAAGGTGAGAGGAGGAGAGCGCGTAGATAGTTGCGAGAAGGAATTATATATACAACGAGCAAAGTGATCGTTCTGTTTTTAAGTGGCTGCTATGAAAGTGAACTGTTTTGCGTGTGATCAGGGGTGTGTTCATTCCGTAGATTCTGTTGAAAAACTTTTCTTAAACGGAAGCAAATGGAACGAAACGGGGATAAACATACCTTTGTCCAATAGAAACTCTAATTTGCAATTGTTGGACTGATGACTAATGATTACACCATAGATCAGCTAGATGCAGGCAAGTGTGCAATGCGGTATTGAATGTGTCACTGTCTGTCACCTTGATTACTCTGAATTATCTATACCTGTGCACCTATGTTTTAAACTTTCATTCGGAGGCCAGGTTGTAGCAACCTAATGACGCGTATAGTGAACTTTTTTGTATCATGTAGCAGCCTAAACCTATCGAGGTTACATTGATCTGGGTGAATGGAATATGAATGACAGTCATCCAATATGCTGTAATAGAAATGAAGCCATGCTTATAAAAAATTATCATCCTCATCTTAAACAGCACCGACCGCCACTGCCTTAGAGTGTATATTATCCTTACAGTATAGTCTACCTGTAAAGCACCAGAAATAATTAACCTTCAACCCTCCATAATAAAGTGAGACAGGAGACTGAGCTTAATAATTGAAATACAATATGTTTATTCATTTTTGGTTATTTTCTGCCATTTAGAAGTTTTTGTTGCATATATTTGTGACTAAATTACATTTTATTTTTTTAGCTTTAGGAAGAAAAAAAAGATTATAGAAATCCAACTAGAAGATATTAGGTATGGAAATGATGTCTGATCACTGAGGATTCTCTATGGACAGATATTAGCTATGGATATGATGTCTGTGATTACTGTGGATTCTCTATGGACAGATATTAGCTATGGATATTATGTCTGTGATCACTGAGGATTCTCTATGGACAGATATTAGCTGTGGATATGATGTCTGTGATTACTGTGGATTCTCTATGGACAGATATTAGCTATGGATATTATGTCTGTGATCACTGAGGATTCTCTATGGACAGATATTAGCTATGGATATGATGTCTGATTACTGAGGATTCTCTACGGACAGATATTAGCTACGGATTCCACAACGGCAAATACAACTTCACTGAATTGTCCGTTGTGGGCGCGTCCTCTAGAAAATCAACTGGATGTCTGCTGAAGGTCTGCTGTTATAAAAGTATTGCATTCCAAAACAGACAGCTGTTTAGTGGAAATACTGACAATGACAAACCATGTCCCCTAATCACCAATAAAATCAATACAGTTTCTGTAAAACCGCCTTTTCTCTGCAGTGCTGCCTTTTTGGTGATTCCTGAAATAGTGATATGTTCACAATAAACCGTTATCATCATACCAGCTTTATTTCAATAAACAATATTGAAACTCCAGAACATGGTAAGGCTTCTCTCTGGTGCGAGTTAGCTGGTGTTTCTTTATGTCTCCTACGCGACTGAACCTTTTCCTCACAGAGAGCAGTGGTACGGTTTCTCAGCTGTGAGAGTTAAATGGTGTGTCTTCAAATTTGATGACTGACCGAAGCTTTCCACAAAGGGAGCAGGTTCCACACTCCTTTGCATTTATTTAACCAGGTAAGTTATTGTTAGTCATAATTAGTTGGTATTTTATGTTATTAATATAAACTGGTGAAACTTTACCCACATTGATAGCAGAGTTAAGGCTTCTCCCCTATGTGAATAAGCTAGTGTCTTCAGATATGATGACACAGATTTTCTCCTGTGTGAGTTCTCTGATGTTTCTTCAAAGTTGATGATTGACTGAAACTCTTCCCACACTGGGAGCAGCGGTGAGGCTTCTCTCCTGTGTGAGTTATCTGATGTGTCTTCAGAGTTGATGAATGACTGAAACTCTTCCCACACTGGGAGCAGTGGAACGGCTTCTCTCCTGTGTGAGTTATCTGGTGTGTCTTCAGGGTTGATGATTGTCCGAAACTCTTCCCACACTGGGAGCACTGGAATGCCTTTTCTCCCGTGTGAATTAGCTGGTGTTTCTTTAGGAAATATAAACTGGTGAAACTATCCCCACATTGAGAGCAGTGGTAAGGCTTATCTTCTATGTGAGTTATCTGGTGTGCCTTCAGTTGATATAACCTGGTGAAACGCTTCCCACATTGAGAGCAGTGATAAGGCTTCTCTCCTGTGTGAGTCAGCTGGTGTTTTTTCAGTGTTGATAACTGACTGAAACTCTTTCCACATTGGGCGCAGTGGAACGGCTTCTCTCCTGTGTGAGTTCTCTGGTGTGACTTTAAGTCTTTTGGATGACTGAAATCCTTCCCACATTGAGAGCAGTGGTATGGCTTCTCTCCTGTGTGAATTAACTGGTGTGTCTTTAGGTTGTGTAACTGACTGAAACTCTTTCCACAATGAGAACAGCGGTAAGGCTTCTCTACTGTGTGGGTTAACTGGTGTCTCTTTAGGTTTCCTACCAGACTGAAATGCTTTCCACATTGAGAGCAGTGGTATGGCTTCTCCCCTGTGTGCGTTATCTGGTGTGTCGTCAGGCTGTGTAACCAACTGAAACTCTTTCCACACTGAGTACAATGGTAAGGCTTCTGTCCTGTGTGAGTTCTCTGGTGTGTCTTTAGTTGGTTCGACTGACTGAAACCCTTCCCACAAACAGAGCAGTGGTATGGCTTCTCTCCTGTGTGAGTTCTCTGGTGCGTCTTTAGTTTGCTTGGTGTTTGAAATCTCTTCCCACATTGACCACATAGATACATCTTCCTTTTTTGAGTATGTTTTGATTTGAGGTGAGTTGGACAAATAAAACTGCCTCTGCAATCTGAGCAGGGGTGGGGCCTACAAGTGTGCCTTCTCAACTCCTCTGGCTCATAGAAACTAGTGAAGCAGTCCATGCAATGGTGATGTTTCTGTCTTGAGTTCCTCTGTCTGTGTTGTTTATGGTTTCCTGATGCTGTGGAACTGGGCTCACTGTCTGAACCTGGGTTGGAGGTCTCTCCTGTGGGAATATGAACATATATGGCGGGGTTAGAATCAGGAACAGCATTGAAACGGTCTTTAAAAGACTTGTTTAAAGGTCCAATGCAGACATTTTAATATCAATATCAAATAATTTACTGGGTAACAATTAGGTACCTTACTTTAATACACTGAACAAAAATATAAAACGCAACATGCAACAATTTCAAAGGTTTTACTTTGTTTCAGTTCATAAGGAAATCAGTCAACTGAAAAAAATTCATCAGGCCATAATATATGGATTTCACATGACTCGGAATAAAGATATGCATCTGTTGGTCACAGATACCTTAAAAAAAAAAAGGTAGAGGCGTGGATCAGAAAACCAGTCAGTATCTGGTGTGACCAGAATTTGCCTCACGCAGCGCGACATCTCCTTCGCATAGAGTTAATTAGGCTGTTCAAATCAAATCAAATGTTATTGGTCACATACACATATTTCGCAGATGTTATTGCGGGTGTAGCGAAATGCTTTTGTGTTCCTAGCTCCAACAGTGCAGTAGTATCTAATAATTCACAACAACACACACAAATCTAAAAGTAAAAGAATGGAATTAAGAAATATATAAATATTAGGACGAGGAATGTCGGAAAATCATTTACAAATACAGTAGAATAGAATACAGTATATACATATGAAATGAGTAACGCAGTATGGAAACATGATTAAAGTGACTAGTGTTCCATTATTAAATTGACCAGTGATTCCATGTCTATGTATATAGGGCAGCAGCCTCTAAGGTGCAGGGTTGAGTAACCGGGTGGTAGCCGGCTAGTGATGGCTATTTAACAGTCTGATGGCCTTGAGATAGAAGCTGTTTTTCAGTCTCTCGGTCCCAGCTTTGATGCACCTGTACTGACCTCGGCTTCTGGATGGCAGCGGGGTGAACCGGCCATGGCTCGGGTGGTTGATGTCCTTAATGATCTTTTTGGCCTTCCTGTGACATTGGGTGCTGTAGGTGTCCTGGAGGACAGGCAGTGTGCCCCTGGTGATGCATTGTGCAGGCCGCACCACCCTCTGGAGAGCCCTGCGGTTGTGGGCGGTGCTGTTGCTGTACCAGGCGGTGATACAGCCCAACAGGATGCTCTCAATTGTGCATCTGTAAAAGTTTGTGAGGGTCTTAGGGACCAAGACTAATTTATTCAGCCTCCTTAGGTTGAAGAGGCACTGTTGCGCCTCCTTCACCACACTATCTTGTTAATTGTACGTAGCTTATGCCTGCCCATACCATAACCTCACCGCCACCATGGGGCACTCTGTTCACAACATTGACATCAGCAAACCGCTCGCCCACACGACGCCGGTACAGTTGAAACCGGGATTCATATGTGAAGAGCACACTTTTCCAGCGTGCCAGTGGCCATCGAAGGTGAGCATTTGCACACTGAAGTTGGTTACGACACCGAACTGCAGTCAGGTCAAGACCCTGGTGAGGACGACGAGCATGTAGATGAGCTTCCCTGAATCGATTTCTGACAGTTTGTGCAGAATTCTTCAGTTGTGCAAACCCACAGTTTCATCAGCTGTCTGGGTGGCTGGTCTCAGATGATCCCGCAGGTGAAGAAGCCGGATGTGGAGGTCCGGTGCTGGCGTGGTTACACATGGTCTGCAGTTGTGAGGCCGGTTGGACGTACTGCCATATACTCTAAAACAAAGTTGGAGGCGGCTTATGGTAGAGAAATTAACATTAAATAATCTGGAGACAACTCTGGTGGACATTACTGCAGTCAGCATGCCAACTGCATGCTCCCTCAAAACTTGAGACATCTGTGGCATTGAGTTTTGTGACAAAAGTGCACATTTTAGAGTGGCCTTTTATTGTCCCCAGCACAAGGTGCACTGTGTAATGATAATGCTGTTTATTCAGCTTCTTGATATGCCACACCTGTCAGGTGGATGGAATATATCTTGGCAAAGGAGAAATGCTCACTAACAGGGATGTAAACAAATTTGTGCCATAAACTTCAGATAAATAAGCTTTTTGTGCATATGAAACATTTCTGGGATATTTTATTTCAGCTCATGAAACATGTGACCAACACTTTACATGTTGGGTTTATATTTTATTCAGTGTAGATTTCCATTAAAATGGGAACAAAATTGCTTTTTAGCAAAAATAACTTTCTCCAGCAAGAATTTTGTAACAATTTACCACATGGTGATATAACCATGGAAAGCTTAAACTCCAGTCCACGCAAGTCTGCTGATTAGAAGGTTCTGTGTAAATTGTATTTTCAACCAGCAACTATCAGGAAATAACTGATTAAAAATCATTATTTTACAGAGTTAGTTTCATCAGCTGTCGTACAATATGATATAAAACATTTTTGCACTTTGTCTTTAAAGCTAGAATCCTTAATTAAACAATAACAAAGTACCACCCCATCTCTGTTTTGGTAAAAATCTGAGGGATGGGCTTTGAGATATGTAACCACTCTCAAATGAAGACAGATAGTGGTAGGCTACACAAGTTCACAGAACAGGACCGCCTAGTGCTGAAGTGCGTAAAATTAATATGTCCTCAGTTGCAACACTCACTACTGAGTTCCAAACTGCTTCTGGAACAATGTCAGCACAATAACTGTTAGTCGGGAGCTTCATGAAATGGGTTTGCATGGCCGAGCAGCCGCACACAAGCCTTAGATCACCATGCGCAATAACAAGTGTCGGCTGGAGTGGTGTAAAGCCTGCCGCCATTGGACTCTGGAGCAGTGGAAACGTGTTCTCTGGAGTGATGAATCACGCTTCACCATCTGGCAGTCCGATGGACAAATCTGGGTTTGGCAAATGCCAGGAAAACGCTATCTGCCCGAATGCATAGTGCCAACTGTAAAGTTTAGTGGATTAGAAATAATGGCCTGGGGCTGTTTTTGATGGTTCCAGTGAAGATAAATATTAATGCTACAGCATACAATTACATTCTAGACAATTCTGTGCTTCCAACTTTGTGGCAATAGTTTGGGGAAGGCACTTCCCTGTTTCAGCATGACAATGCCCCCGTGCACAAAGCGAGGTCCATACAGAAATGGTTTGTCGAGATCGGTGTGGAAGAACTTGACTGGCCTGCACAGAGCCCTGACCTCAACCCCATCGAACACCTTTGGGATGAATTGGAACGCCGACTGCGAGCCCGGCCTAATCGCCCAACATCAGCGCCCAACCTCACTACTGCTAGTGGCTGAATGGAAGCAAGTCCCCGCAGCAATGTTCCAACATCTAGTGGAAAGCCTTCTCAGAAGAGTGGAGGCTGTTATAGCAGCAAAGGGGGGACCAACTCCATATTAATGCCCATGATTTTGGAATGAGATGTTCAGACGAGCAGGTGTCCACATACACTACATGACAAAAAAGTATTTCAAGGCACTCTCAGCAGACCACTTGAAACCCCTTTATTCATCGGCTACTGGCCAGGATAAAAAGATGCTCCTATCCGATGCTGCTAAACCAGCCATGATTTAGGAGGAGGGTAGGCTATGCTTGGTTTTTAATCAAATTAAACAAAATGGGGGAAAACCAATAATTTTTGTATGTTCCTAAATACGAGATTCACCAGCACAAAATGAACATCTCTCTTCAAATCAAATCTAATTTGATTTGTCACATACACGTGTTTAGCAGATGTTATAGCGGGTGTAGCGAAATGCTTGTGGGCATTGTGTGTCATGGATGGATAGGCTGTGCTTACCTAGAAGACCTGCTGTTTGTGGGTCATAAACGTTCCCTTTAGCGCTGCATGAAACTGTCCATTTTGCATGTGTTTTTAAAGGACACGCCTCAAATATTGTCACCCCTCCCACCTTAGCGCAAGTGAGCTGATGTTAGACAGGTACACTACCGTTCAAAAGTTTGGGGTCACATAGAAATGTCCTTGTTTTCCAAAGAAATCACTTTTTTTGTCCATTAAAATAACATCAAATTGATCCGAAATACAGTGTAGACATTGTTAATGTTGTAAATGGCTATTGTAGCTGGAAACGGCTGATTTTTTATGGAATATCTACATAGGCGTACAGAGGCCCATTATCAGCAACCATCAGTCCTGTGTTTCAATGGCACGTTGTGTTTGCTAATCCAAGTTTATCATTTTAAAAGGCTAATTGATCATTAGAAAACCCTTTTGCAATTATGTTAGCACAGCTGAAAACTGGCCTTCTTGAGACTGGTTGAGTATCTGGAGCATCAGCAATTGTGGGTTCAATTACAGGATCAAAATGGCCAGAAACAAATAACTTTCTTCTGAAACCCATCAGTCTATTCTTGTTCTGAGAAATGAAGGCTATTCCATGCGAGAAATTGCCAAGAAACTGAAGATCTCGTACAACGCTGTGTACTACTCCCTTCACAGAACAGCGCAAACTGGCTCTAACCAGAATAGGAAGAGGAGTGGGAGGCCCCGGTGCACAACTGAGCAAGAGGACAAATACATTAGAGTGTCTAGTTTGAGAAACAGACGCCTCACAGGTCCTCAACTGGCAGCTTCATTAAATAGTATCCACAAAACACCAGTCTCAACGTCAACAGTGAAGAGGCGACTCTGGGATGCCGACCTAGGCAGAGTTGCAAAGAAAAAGTCAAGTGTCTGTGTTCTTTTGCCCATCTTAATCTTTTCTTTTTATTGGCCAGTCTGAGATATGGCTTTTTCTTTGCAACTCTGCCTAGAAGGTCAGCATCCCGGAGTTTCCAGCTATAATAGCCATTTACAACATTAACAATGTCTACACTGTATTTCTGATCAATTTGATGTTATTTTAATGGACGAAAAAATTGCTTTTCTTTCAAAAACAAGGACATTTCTATGTGACCCCAAACTTTGGAACGGTAGTGTACATTGCCGAACCTGGTGTTAGGTCTGGAAAATGCCAGTGCTCATGTTTTTACATGACGAAATTCCAAACTAACGTGTGTTTGACACTTGGGCCTCCTAACCACCAGCTGAAAACAGAGGCCCAGAGTGTAAAAGCCCCAATGCAGTACTTTTAAATCATCACTGTATGTCTAATAAATCACTGCGTGTGTTTATTTCATGAAAATAACTCCAAATATATTTTTTATCATTTATTTCACTTAGCCTCCTTTTGCCATTGAAATGCTCAGTCTGATCTTGTGGGCATATTGATACAAATGAAAATATATTTACATACACAGCCCTGAATGGTGGATAGGATCGTCTAGACTCGAGAGCCTACCCCGCTAACCCCTTCAAAGTGATCAGGGCCAAAAACTCCATCCCAACTGAACAGGCTGAAATTCCAGGAATTATTTTGAAAACAGGAACATCCCGTTTTTTAACTGCACTGCCCCTTTAAAATTAGGTGAAACCAAGTTACTCTTCAGAAAAAGGCACCAGATTGGTGGAAAGACCCAACAATAGTTCTGGAATCCCCCGTGTCTGCCAATGCACCAACCTCTCTCCATCCTAAACAACTTAACTTACCTGGGTCAGTGTTACCATCTACTTCTTCCTCCTCTTCCGTGTTCTCCACTTCTGTGACTGCTCTCTCCTCCACCTCCTCTTTGAATGCTCTTTCCTCTGCCTCCTCTTTGAATGTTCTCACCTCCACCTCCTCTTTGAATGCTCTCTCCTCCACCTCCTCTTTGAATGCTCTCTCCTCTGCCTCCTCTTTGAACGCTCTCTCCTCCACCTCCTCTTTAATCCCTAGCTCCTCTTCTTTGACTTCTCTCTCCTCCTCTTCCTCTTTGACTATCACATTGAGTTCCAGTGGTTGACTACAGTCCTCCAGCTTCACTAAGACCATCTCTGGACCCCACTGTGAGCTTCTCTGTGCTGGAAGACCACAGTAAGAAACCGGGGACTTGGGTTCAGACATGGAAGGCTATAAATGGATTCAAAAGAGGCACAAACAAAATCGTAAGGTGAGTTTCCACAAACAGGGTGAGTTTCACAAAATACTGGAACAGCTTAGCTAATAAAGGAATAGAACGAAATATTCCATCCACTAGGAATCTACTAATAAATGTAGCTAGCTAGCATTGCTTTGGCGATGGTACAGCTTGCGTTAGCAATATTGAGCTAGTTGGGTTAGATTTAGCTTACTGACTAATTTTACTGTCACCTTTCTCACTAGGATGAAACGATCTAGCTAGATAGCCAAATTACCAACAAGAAGTTCGTTTGAAGCAATGTTTTGAAGATAAACAAACTTGCTTGGTATGATAGACAGATAGCTAGTTAGCTTGGCTAGCCGTTTTAATTGCCAATAAGCAAGCTAGCTAACGTTAGCTCAAATGGCTATTGTTTACACATGATGACGTAGACAAATAATCCGACTACTAATGGTTATTCATGGAAACGTTACAGAATTGTTAGAAATCTTGATTTTACCTTGACACCTGACTTTGAATTGGCAGCTCTTGTTGTTCTAGCTAACGTAACTTCTTATTCGGTGGGGTTTTCTTCTTCTTCGATGAGGTTTAACGGCAGTTGGCAGCCAATAAATGTTGCACTACCGCCACCTATTAGATTGGAGTATAACGCCTTTATACAACAAATACCCTACCATCTAATACCACACTCACAAAAAAAAAAAAAAAAACATTCTGATAATTATAACTACCATACTCCACTATTTAAATATATGTATTCCTACTTCAGGCCAACAGCCTGAAGGGATGGGACACCACCACTTAACACACCCTTTAACTCTTCTGATGTCAAGTCTCGCACACCCAAATAACTCTCTGCAGCTGCCACCACAACCTCTATTTTCTGCGACTTACATTCCACCCCTGCAGTACAGTTGATAACCATTGCTATAAATGCCAAAAATCCAATCTTACTGGAACATATATCAGTTGTTGGTTTATCCCTCTGTACTGGTACATCTCTACTACTCACACCGTTCTTCTCAGGATCCCTCCCCCTTGACCCATCTTCCTCAACGTTCTTCATTGCCTCAGCATATGACAACTTCTGCACTACTCTAACCCTGAAAACCTCAACCTGCCTCTTTCGCACCGGACATTTCGGATCCCCAGCCCCATGGGCACCCCTACAATTAACACATACCAATACATTTACATTTTACATTTTAGTCATTTAGCAGACGCTCTTATCCAGAGCGACTTACAGTTAAGTGAGTGCATACATTTTCATACTGGCCCCCCAGTGGGAATCGAACCCACAACCCTGGCGTTGCAAACGCCATGCTCTACCAACTGAGCTACATCCCTTTCCCCAATGCTACACATTCCTTTGTCTCATGCCCTTCTGCACACCTAGGAACCTCCCTGCTACACACTGCTGCCACATGCCCATAAGTTTGACACCTGTAACAACGTAATGTATTCGGCACAAAAGCTCGTACCGGATAACTTACATATCACTTTGTCGGGCAAAGACTCAACATCAAAACTCAAAAGAACAGACAACGACTCTTCTGTTTCTCCACTCACGTCACCCTGTCTGCGTCGCACCAAACGACGAGCATCACAAACACCGGGAATCTTCCCCTTCAGTTGGTCAGCTTTCACATTTACCGCTACCCCAGTAATCACTCCTTTCAATGGCGCCCTTTTCTTGAGAGCCGAAACAATTCACAATTCTTTCCCCCATTTGTTTAACTCTGAGCGCCTTCCCCCTCTGACCAGCAGAAACACAAACAATTATCACTAGACCACTTCTGGTTACCGATTCCAAATAGATTTAAACTCAGTTTTCAGGTCTGTAGTTATGATGGGGGTTGCACTCACAGGTTATACACTAGGACAACCTGTAGACACACTAGTTATACACACTAGTTATACACACTAGTTATACACACTGGTTATACACACTGGTTATACACACACTAGTTATACTAGTGTAGTCACACTCACTCAGGTAACATTATCACACAGTGTCTAACCCAACTCGGTTTTCACACACCCTGAAACCACAAATGAATCAGCCAAAAGGCAAGGGTCCACTTTTTCCAAAAACTTCACTCCTACTGTCACAGACTCATCTTTATCCTGACCCTCGGTGCAAGCCTCGGGCTCCGAGAACTTCACCACACCTACCACCTCCGATACTTCGCCCTCATACACTTCCATTTCTCCTCCTGTCTTCAACTCACTCTGTTTACACTTTCTACAATTCTTCTTTAACAAACTATCTCCCTTTTGTATTCCATTTTTAACTGACTCAAGCTCACCCTCTTCCTCTCTCTCTCTCTTAGACCTCCTCTGCCTCTCTTTTTCCCTCCATTCCTCCTCTGTATTCCAAGTATATCTCTCCTTATGATAGTACCGCACCTCTCCTGACATACATCTAGTTCTTGCCTTGTCTAGGGACAACATTTCTCCTCCAACTCCCCCTACTCTTCCAATTTCCCCCACGTCCAATACGATAAACTGTGCTGATTTCTTCGTTATGTAGACCCTCAAACACTTAAGTCAGACATGTTTGTTTTCATGTGACGCGCATCAATGTGGCCCAATCCAATTTGTCAGCCAACTGTCCCAGCTATTGTCAATCTGGATAGCTAGCTAGCGAAATGTCCCCCTTTTGTCTTGTTTAAGCATATGTAAGCTTCCACTTGGTTGCCAGGTCACGAAGAAAAAGGACCAATCAGGTCCGGTGGGGTTTACTTTTACTTTTACTTCTTCTTCTTATTTTCTTCTTCTTCTTCTATGATATAACGGCGGTCCGCAAACAATCGTTTAAGTGCATGCCGCCACCTACTGTGCTGGAATGTATGATCAATCATGATCTGCCGAATTCTGTACTACCATGAAAATACAATTAAAAAATAGATAAATCCCTAACTTCTACCAATATAATGTTGCATTACCGCCACCAACTGGACCGGAAAATAAATCCATTATACTTTTTGATAGAAAAATAAAATGTACCCTGCCAACATGGAAACCATGTGTTTGATGTATTTGATACCATTCCGCTAATTCCTCTCCAGTCATTACCACGAACCCATTCTCCCCAATTAAGGTGCCACCAACTTCCTGTGAACCCTACACTCCTGTGAACCAAAAAAACACCCCAGTTCCACTAAAATGTAACTTTATGTAATCCTACACCAGGCTGGCGACCTGGATGGGACACTACTATTCAACGCCCCCTGTAACTCTTCTGAAGTCAAATCTCGTAATCCCAAGTACTTCTCTGCGGCTGCCACCACAACACCTATTTTCTGTGTTACGTTCCATACCTGAGGTACAGTTGATAACCCTAGCAATGAACACTAAAAAGCCAAACTTAGCCAACTTTACTGAAACACGTCACTCTGTACTGGTAAAATTATACTACTCACCGGGGGCCTCATTCATAACCCTTGCATACATTTAACCCTAAATATCTGCATGCGCATTTCTGAAAAATCTGCGCACATACAAAAATATTGAGATATAAAACTTGGCACACGTCATTCATACGCATGTTTCCCGTTATATATAAATCAAACCTGTTGTAAAACTTTGTGAGCATTATAACGCTGCCTGAAAACGCCCATTGTTTACCTTTTATGGTGACAATAACGCCCTTATTTGCTGTAGACCTACATTGCATTCGGAAAGTTTTCAGACTCCTTGACTTTTTCCACCTTTTTTTTTACGTTACAGCCTTATTCTAAAATTGATTAAATAATTTTTTTCCCTCATCAATCTACACACAATACCCCATAATAACAAAGCAAAAACAAACTGGTTTTTAGAAATGTTTGCTAATTTATAAAAAATTAAAATCAGAAATACCTTATTTGCATAAGTATTCAGACCCTTTGCTATGAGACCCGAAATTGAGCACAGGTGCATCCTGTTTCCATTGATCATCCTTGATGTTTCTACAACTTGATTGGAGTCCACCTGTGGGCAATTCAATTGATTGGACATGATTTGGAAAGGCACACACCTGTCTATATAAGGTCCCACAGTTGACAGTGCATGTCAGAGCAAAACCCAAGCCATGGCGTTGAAGGAATTGTCCGTAGAGCTCCGAAACAGGATTGTGTCAAAGGCACAGATCTAGGGAAGGGTACCAAAAAATGTATGCAGCATTGAAGGTCCCCAAAAACACAGTGGCCTCCATCATTCTTAAATGGAAGAAGTTTGGAACCAACAAGACTCTTCCTAGAGCTGGCCGCCCGGCGAAACTGAGCAATCGGGGGAGAAGGGCCTTGGTCAGGGAGGTGACCAAGAACCCGATGGTCACTATGACAGAGCTCCAGAGTTCCTGGAGATGGGAGAACCTTCCAGAAGGACAACCATATCTGCAGCACTCCACCAATTAGGCCTTTATGGTAGAGTGGCCAGACGGAAGTCACTCCTCAGTAAAAGGCACATGACAGCCCGCTTGGAGTTTGCCAAAAGACACCTAAAGGACTCTCAGAGCACGAGAAACAGGATTCTCTGGTCTGATGAAACCAAGATTGAGCTCTTTGGCCTGAATGGCAAGCGTCACGTCTGGAGGAAACCTGGCACCATCCCTACGGTGAAGCATGGGGGTGGCAGTATCATGCTGTGGGGATGTTTTTCAGTGGCAGGGACTGGGAGACTAGTCAGGATCGAGGGAAAGACGAACAGAGGAAAGTACAGAGATCCTTGATGAAAACCTGCTCCAGAGCTCTCAGGACCTCAGACTGGGGCGAAGGTTCACCTTTCAACAGGACAATGACCCTAAGCACACAGCCAAGACAACGCAGGAGTGGCTTCGGGACAAGTCTCTGAATGTCCTTGAGTGGCCCAGCCAGAGCCCGGACTTGAACCCGATCGAACATCTCTGGAGAGACCTGAAAATAGCTGTGCAGCGACGCTCCTCATCCAACCTGACAGAGCTTGAGAGGTTCTGCAGAGAAGAATGGGAGAAACTCCCCAA